TGAGTATTGTATCCGGATACAACTTTTCAGTATCGATACTTTTTTAAGTATCGATACTTTTGACAACCCTAGCAGACACTATTTAAAATTTTGTATATTAATCTCATATTTTTTTCCTTGTTTGGTAAATAAGAATGCATGTAATTATGGTTTATATGGCCTTTATTTAACGTTATGCTATATGGAGAAGTTTATTAAAATAAATTTCATTCAAGATAAGAAATTTTAAACGTACACCACCCCTGTAGAAAGAAAGGTGTCATAAAGTAAATCATACCATTAGACCCCCCTACTCCTACCTATGAGAGTCATACTGAGGCTGTTGAAGTCAACACCCTAAGAAGCCATTGTGAGTGTCTCTCGCTGTAATTTTTACAAAGGTCTAATCTGGAGCCGCAGGTGATTCATTGGACCTTCCACAAAGGCTCTTTATAATATTATAATCATATAAATAAGCAGACCTCCTAATTGTCCAGTGGATTGTTATTTTTTTTTACTTTTTTGTAAAAAAAAAAAAAAAACAATAGTAAAAAACTGAGACTGAGAATCTTCAACAGCAGTTGCAACAGATATAGCATCATGTCTGCTAGGACCGTGGACGTGAATACAGGGGGGATCCATCACACTCACCCTCTTGCTCACCCTTTGATGGGAATGAAGTTTGGAGGAGAACTGACGGTTTTCCCTGTGAACCCCTTTTAATACCAAAACGCTGCCAATACACTGGCATACACACAAGCCTCCTGAGTACACCAAGGACCATAATGAACAACATTTTTCACATAGATAGATAGATAGATAGATAGATAGATAGATAGATAGATAGATCGCATTATTCTTACTCTCATCGCGGGCAGTCTTCCCCCACTTTTTTCCTCCAAACTGGGGTTCTCTACCAGAGGCCAGGGAGCTTGAGGGTTCTGTGCAGTATCTTTGCTGTTACTAGAACTGCACTCTTCTGGACCGAGATGTCTGATATATTTCCAGGGATCTGATGTAACTACTCTTCAAGTTTGGGGGTCAGTGCCCAGAGTGCCCCAATGACCACTGATGTACCACTGATGCCTTGATCTTCCAAGTTTTCTCCAGCTCTTTTCTGAGCCCCTGGTATTTCTCTAGTTTCTCGTGTTCCTTTTTTCTGATGTTACAGTTACTTGGTATTGTTATGTCAACCACAGCTTTCCTCTCCTTTTTGTGCACCACCACAATGTCTGGTTGGTTTGCCATTACCATTCGGTCCGTCTGTATCTGGAACTTCCACAGGATCTTTGCTCGGTCATTCTCTACCCTCTTTGGAAGCATTTCCCACTTTGACCTTGGGGTTTCCAGCCCATACTCTGCACAGATGTTCCTGTATACTATTCCAGCCACTTGGTTATGGGGCTCCATGTAAGCTTTCCCTGCCAGCATCTTACAACCTGCAGTTATATGCTGGAATGTCTCAGGGGCCTCTTTGCAGAGTCTGCACCTGGGGTCTTATCTGGTGTGGTAGATCTGGGTCTCTAAAACTCTAGTGCTTAGGGCCTGCTCCTGTGCAGCCATGATGAGTGCTTCTGTGTGTCCTTCACTCCGGCTTTGTCTAGTCATTGGTAGGATTTCCTGTAATCCACCACTTCGATTATGTTTCAGTGGTACATCCCATGTAGGTGCTTATCCTCTCATGACAGAATCTCTGGCACCTCATCTTCTGTTCCCTATTGTCTGAGACATTCACTGAGGATGTCGCCTTGTCCTTGATGTACTCATTGATCTTGGATGTTTCATCCTGGATAGTGGCTCTTACGCTCATTAGTCCTCGGCCTCCTTCCTTACGGCTGGCATACAATCTCAAGGTGTTGGATTTGGAGTGGTACCTTCCGTGCATGTTTAGGAGCTTTCGTGTCTTAAGATCTGTGGCTCAAGTGGTAAGTCACCCGACTTGCACACGGTAGGCCCGGATTCAAAGAGAAATGTCCATATGGTTCCTTAGACAAGACCCTTCACGCTAATGCCTACCTCATATTAAGATGACAGACAAAATAATGAATGACATGCCGGCTCAGACTATATATATATATATATATATATATATATATATATATATATATATATAGTAAAGAGAATTGTTTCTATCACTGATCCCTGTGGTACTCCACAGGTAACCTCTGAGCATGAGGAAGATTTGTCATTAACGTGAACAAGCAGAATATTATGATCAACTGTATCAAATGCAGCACTGCGCTCCAATAGGACGGACACAAATACAAGTCCATTATCTGAGGCCATGAGAATATCATTAGCAACCTTCACCAGAGCTGTTTCAGTGTTATGATGTGCTCTAAAGCCAGACTGAAACTCTTTAAAAAGTTCATTATAGTGTAAGTGCTCGCACACTTGTTTGGCAACTACTTTTTCAAGAATTTTAGATAAGAAAGGAAGATTGGATATAAGTCTACAATTGACCAAGTCATCTGGGTTAAGAAGTTAGGAACATGTCCCTGTAACAGGGATAGATTAATCACATCTAAAACGGAGGAGGAGATCAAAGGGAATACCTCTTTAAATAACCTGGTTAGATCTGGATCTTACATACAAGTTGAAGGCTTAGATGAAGACAATAGTTTTACTAACTCTGAAAGTTCAACTGGATCAAAGCAGTCGAAACATGGGTCAGATTCTATGGCTACCTCAGATGCTGCCTCACCTTCCACAGATAAACCAATCCTAGATAAAGGAGTGTTAATGATCTTATTTTTAATAAGATTAATCTTATTTATAAAGAATCCCATATAATTATTACTGCCAAGAGCAGATGGAATGAACGCCTCAACAGAGCTATGGCTCTGGGTGAGTTTTGCAACTGTATTAAAAAGATATCTGGTATTAATCTTATTCTCCTCTATTAATGAGGAGAAATATGCTGTTCTTGCTTTACAAAGGGTCATCTTATACAGCATTAAACTAGTTTCCAGACTAGGTAGGATTCCTGTAGGCCTGTGGAGCGATATTTTCTCTCCGGTTTCCTAGCATTTTGCTTCAAAGTCCACAGCTCTGCATTAAACCAGAGTCAGCTTTCTATTTTTAACGGTTTTCATTTTCAAAGCGGCTGCGTTGTCTAAGGCAGTACCCAGAGAACTAGCAACCCCATCAACAATCATCAACCTGTGAAGGGGAATAAACTAAGTTTTTGCACTGTGCAGCACTGCTCAGTGACACAGAGGAGAGAGAAAGGGAAACTGATTCTGTTAAAGTGAAACCTTTTTTTGGGGGATGAGAACTCTTTTAAAGTAATCCTGAAGGTTATTAAAAAGTGGTCAGAGAGGACAGGGTTGTGAGGAAATACTGTTATTTCTTCACATTCTATGCCATATGTCAGCAAAAGATCCAAAGTATGAAGATAAGAACGTGTGGAACTATTCACATTTTGACAAAGTCAATAGCGTCTAAGATAGCATTAAAGGCGGCTCTTAAGCTATCGCCTTCATCAGCATGGATGTTAAAATCCCCCACTATGATGACCCTGTCAGTATTTAATACCAAATCAGATAGGAACTCTGAAAATGTTCAAAAGCGTTGTAAGTATTAACTGCCTTTGGAGTAAACGGTTAGTCAGACTAAAAGATTGTTGCTACTCCTCCTCCTCACCCACAACTTCTCGGTATGTGAAAATTGAAATAACTAGAAGGAGTTGCCTCATTCATGTTTACCTAATCCTCTTGCTGCAGCCAAGTTTCTGTAGGGCAAAATAAATCAATATGATTATCACTTATCAAGTCATTAACTAATAGAGTTTTTGAGTAAAGAGATCTTATGTTAAGTAGACCACATTTAATCATTTTAACTTTTTCCCCAATTGGAGTTATTTTAATTAGATCATCATTATTTAATCCTTTGGGAATCTGATTTTCAGTTTATGTTAAATTTATCACATAGATTCATTTGTGAGATGGGTCACAACTCTCCCTGCGACCTGCAAGGATAAGCGGGTATAGACAGCGACTGAATAGATTTATTAGTTTCACAGTGAGAGTAATATAAAATTATCAGGTTTTAACTACAATTCAAGTAGAAATCTCAACCCAGATTGTTGTTTTTTTCTACCTCTATGGTCTCTTTACAGTGAGAAAACAGAAATCTGGCTGATTAAACCACCTTTGAACGTTTACTTCTGTCGCACCTTTCAGTGGACCGTTTTTTGAGGTTTTACTTTCAACAAATCATTGGTTATAGTTTTATTACTTATATATATATATAGCTTCTAATTTCACAAATAAAGCCTGTCTCTGGCACACTAGGCATCTGAGAGGGATGTTGGTGGACACTGTTGAAGGAGTTGGCATGGACAAAAGGGATGTCCCTGCACTCCACTTTACAAGGGAAAAACAAAAAAAAAATTTAATTTCTGGAAGTTCAATGAGGAAGCAATCTTGTTCAAATATGTCTTAAGTTTTATCTGAAAAAAACTACCAGTCATTTATTAAGTTCTTTTTATGTTGAATTAGCCCAAAGTTGAATATTTGACCTTAATACAAACTGTCATCTCAGTTGAACAATAACATAGCAGCTTAAAACATCAGCTATATTGGTTGAAACTTGAACATTACCACAATGATTACCTAAGCAGTGAGTCAACAAAGGAATAGCTTAAAGAGGACAAAAATCAAGGCCTAAGAGGAAATGTAGACTTCTAAATCTCAGCCCGATTGAGATGCTGTGACAGGACCTAAAGAGGACAGAAATACAGCAAAATGCTTACAAACCTAAATGAACTAAAACAATTTTGTAAAGAGGTGTGGGCCTAGATTCCTTCAAAAATGTGTACAGGACTGAAGAAGTCATATGGGAAACAACAGCTTAAGTAATTGTTGCTAAATCTAGTTATATTAAGTGGTGCACTTTTTTTAGGATTATTTCTGCATTGTTGCAATTTCAACCTTTTGGAAAAAATAATGTTTTGTTAGGAGATGAAGATAAAATTTAATCAAAATTTTATAACACTTCTCTACCATATTCACCTTTAGGTCAGTGAGCCTTCCTTGGAGGAGCTTCTGGCCTATTATGGATACCCAGTATCTAATCCGCAGAAGAAGTGTCCTCTGACCACCACCCTGCAAGATATGACCCAAGATAAGGTTGGTTTTAGCCCAATTAACCTCTAGCAGTTGCTCTAATAAATAGAACTCACTCCAGTAATGTTTAGATCGTTTCCTTTGTAATCAACACAGTTAAATGTGACTGTATCTGATTTTGGGTATGAATAAATAATTGAATAAAAGAAATGTGCAAATACTGTATATGTATGATTATTTTGAAATATGTGATTTGTGCTTCATTATTCACATTGTGTTTACTCCAATATTTATCTTAAGGTAACTTTGGTAAAGATGGTTTCCTAAGAACCAAAGAAATAGTCCATATTTAAATTAGAACTGTTTTCCTGAGCTCTTAAGTGTTTTTCATTATTCTTTCCTTTGTTGTTGCACAGGATCAGAAAGCTAAGGATGTGTTTCATGGCAGGATAGAAAAACAAGCTTCAACCTATGATATCCCCTCCTCCAACACCTCAGTTCTGCTGCCTTGCCTCCAGGGTAACACAAACCCACAGGACTGATTCTAAAAGAAGTGCTGATAAAATTGTTTTTTTGTTTTTATAACAGTAGAAGTGATAGAGTAATCTTCACTTAAAAAAATGTTTTTGAAGCATCTACACAAAATGTTTATGTTAATAATCAGATTTTTGTTCCCCTAAGGCTAAGAGAATGTTTTCATATCACAGCAAAATTTTGACAATTATTAATTGTGAAGAAAAAGGTTGTACAAAGTGGAGTCTTAATATACTGTGTTACTGAGCTAAACAGCTGGTTGTTTTGACATTTGTATTTTAGATGTTTTGTCTAAAAACACTTTTCCCCGATAATTATTTGGCTTTACCTGCGTGTGACTCAGTTTGAAACTACTAATTATTTTTCTCTCTCTCTCTCTGTATATATATATATATATATATATATATATATATATATATATATATATATATATATATATATACAGAGAGAGAGAGAGAGAGAGAGAGAGAGTATGACATGTTGGTCATGTCGCTGTTAGCATAAACAAAACGTGTTGCACAATGCTTGCACACTGTTGCACTTTTATCCACAACTTTCTTTCCGCCGTCATCGTAGGTCACTCTAAATGCAAAGTGGTCCCGTACAGCGGACCTATAAAGTTCTGCTGGCACGTCTTCTAACTCCTGTTCTTTCCCACTCGCCATACCCACACAATTCTCCACAACAACTGCTTTTTTTCTGCTACACCCGGCTACGCTGCTTCGCTTCTTCTTCTTTTTTTTTACTACTGGTGGTTGGCTTTTGTCGCAGTACCGCCACCTTCTGCTCTGGAGTGTAAACGCTTCGCCTATGAGAAAAAGGCACTGCGCATGTACCGAACGCAACACACGCGAAACGATCCGAGACAGTCGAACTGAACGGGTCGGACCGTTCCATCCCTAATATATATATATATATATATATATATATATATATATATATATATATATATATATATATATATATATATATATATATATATATACACAGTGAGGAAAATAAGTAACAGCTAGAATTCTAAACCTCAAAGACCTTTTTGCCTTCAAAATGTCCACCTCCACTCTATTTATTATCCTAAATTAGATTCACATGTTTGATTTTATTAGCTGCATAAAGATACCTGTCCACCCCATACGATCAGTAATAATCCAACTAATAACACGGCCAAGACCAAGGAGCTGACTTGAGACACTAGAGACAAAATGGATTAGAAAATGGAAGAAGCTAAACATGACTGTCAATCACCCTCAAACTGGGGCACCATGCAAGACCTCACCTCGTGGGGTCTATATGATCCTAAGAAAGGTGAGAAATCAGCCCAGAACTACACAGGAGGAGCTGGTCAATGACCTGAAATGAGCTGGGACTATTGTTTCCAAGGTTACTGTTGGTAATACCCTAAGACGTCATGGTTTGAAATCATGCATGGCACAGAAGGTTCCCCTGCTTAAACCAGCACATGTTAAGGGTTGTCTTAAGTTTGCCAATGACCATTTGGATGATCCAGAGAAGTCATGGGAGAAAGTCATGTGGTCATATGAGACCAAATTAGAACTTTTTGGTCATAATTCCACTAACTGTGTTTGGATTGGTAGCATCATGCTTTGAGGATGTTTTTCTGCACATGGGGCAGAGTGAATGCATTGTATTAAGGAGAGGATGACCGGAGACAAGCAGTGCAAGATTTTGTGGAACAACCTTGTTCCCTCAGTTAGAATATTGAAGATGGGTCAAGGCTGGGTTCTCCAACATGATGATGATCCAGAGCACACAGCCAGGATAACCAAGGAGTGGCTCTGTAAGAAGCATATCAAGGTTCTGATGTGGCCAAGCCAATCTCCAGACCTAAACCCAATATAGAATTTTTGGAGGGAGCTCAAACTCTGTGTTTCTCATTGACAGCCCAAAAACCTGACTGATCTAGAGAAGATCTGTGTGGAGGAGTGGGCCAAAATCCCTCGTGCAGTGCGTGCAAACTTGGTGAAAAACTACAGGAACCGTTTGACCTCTGTTATTGCAAAGAAAGGCTACTGTATCAAATTAATATTGTTTTTCTTAGGTGTTCACATACTTATTTGCAGCTGTATCATACAAATAAATAGTTTAAAAAATCATACATAGTGATTTCTGGATTTGCTTTTGGGTTTTTTTTTTACATTATGTCTCTCAAAGTGGATATGCACCTACAATGACAAATTCAGACCCTTCCATGATTTCTAAGTGGGGGAACTTGCAAAATAGTAGGGTCTTCAAATACTTATTTTCCTCACTGTATATTTGATCCTACAATTGCTTCAGATTTGGCAGGCCGTTCTTTTAAGAATTTAATTCATTCTTTTATTCTGCTTCAGACATATGACTTATTCACATGCTTGAAAATCCTAAAGTATTTGTTGGCTTGTTTTCATAGTTGTTGTTAATCATGTCTCTTCTGGAATCTGGAGGCAATCGTTCAAGCTTGCAAACTGCTTTTTGCCATCTTTCATTTTACTAATGAAAGCTTGAGTCACTCTTTGTTGTTTGTTCTATTTCAGATGGAGACAGATCTTCCTCTGCCAACTCATCAGATGAGGACACTGATGATTGGTCTATTCCATCCAATGACGAGCACAAGGTTAGCTACAAAGAATATTATGTTGAGCTGGTCACTGTGCATGATGGCAAGTTAAACCTTTGTCCTGATCCACCTTTATTTGTGACATTTCCATTTGTTTAAAATGGTTTGATTTAAAGTATTAAGGGGAGTAGCTTTCCTTCTTTGACTTTTGAAGATGAGCAGATTGATGATGTGTAGTCCTCAGTTTTAGTTCAACACATTAATAATCTGGGATTACCTCTATCGAGTATGTCAGGTGGAAAGAGGGACGTTAAGCAGAACCTTTTCAGCTGATTGGGCAAAGCCTACCAACATTTGATTTTAGCTAGTTATTCTAACAAAAGAAATGGCAGCAGAGGCCATGATAAACCACAAGTTCCACTTTTATGCTTTTGTTGTTCCTATTTCAAAAATGAAATTGTAGACTTCGACAAAACAAATGTGATAGCAGTGGCTACATGCACGTCCTTCTGCACTGCCATGTTTATCTTGATTTGACTGCGGACTCAGTGGCTCTTCCTTTTATCACAGCTTAATGCTCCGCTATGATACTGAAACATATCTGCCCTGGGATAAACGTGGAAGATTAAAGTTGGAACTCTACAGAATGGTTTCTCTTTTGTTTGTGAACTCACAAATACCTCAATAATTCAGTTTGCAAGCAGGGTTAATGAAAATCCATCGATATCTCCAATACTTTAAGGGCAAGATGCCTTCCACCATTTGGTTTTTTAATTAACTTATTTTCATAATTATTTCATTTCCCTTGGGGATTAATAAAGTATTATACATTGAATTATGGTTATTGATGGAAAAAAGAAATGGATCTCTTTCTTACTTTATATTTACACCCCTTGGAAGTGGGTTAATGAGCATTATCTATTGTGTTATATTGTATGAATGTTTGGTGGGCAGATACTTTTGGCATCAGTGGTTTGTATTTATTTTATTTTTTTTTCCTTCATTGAAAGCTATAATTCAAAAAAAAAATCAGTTTTCGAACATCTAGTAGCTACAAAAAATGTATTTAAAGGAGTTTTTGTATATCTTCACCATGGTTATAATAGTAGTAGCAGATAGCATAATATATCTGAAAAATGAATCAGAAATATATAAAGAAGATATAAATTTGGGACACTCACCTTTAAGACAATATACACTTAAGTTCATCTTTGCAATACCAATACATTCTAGGGTTGCCAACAAACTAGTCTGTTGAGTTTGTGTGACCTGTGGTTTTATTCATTTGTTTATTATTTTCTTATGATGGTCCGGCTGCTCAGTGGCGCAGTGGGTAGCACTGTCCCCTTGCAGCAATAAGATCCGGATTCCACTGGCGACCTGTCCAGGGTGTACTCTGCCTCCCGCCAGTAGACAGCTGGAAATGGGCACCAGCACCCCTCGCGACCTCAGTTAGGATATAGGACGACCCTGATTATAAGACGACCCCCTCTCTCCAGGACCAATTTTTAGAGACAAAACAAGACTGAAATAGAGGGGAAAAAAACTAATAAACCAAATTTATTTGGTTTAAAGAAACTATTTTATAATAAAGGGATAACAATTTTTATTTGAAGAATATTGCATTGAAAGATTTTTGCAATTAAACATTTTAATTGAAATCTTGCAACATTTCAACCCGATGCAATCTGAACTTTGCTCACGGAACGTCTCAAAAACCTGCGTGAGGCTTTTAATCACAGATGTCCTCTGTCTCGCTGCGCTCGCTGTTACTTCTTCTATCACCCTGCAGCTCTGCAAGTTTTTGATAAGCTCTTCTTTAGCTGTTTGCCTTTTTCCTGGCCTTTTTCAACATGCCCTCTTCTGACATTGCTCTCTGTAACTGCGTATTTCTTTGCTGCCTGACAGTTGTTTTGATGCCTCCACTCCTCTTGACCACCATTATTTTAAAATCTGCGTCATAACTCTGCCTCAAATGTCTGCAAACTTGTCTGACTTTTTATCCACTCCATTCTTGGCAGCCATTCTCCATTTTTAGTATCCTTCTCACTTCTTCTCTGTTGTGATAAAAAGATGACCCCAGCCACAATGAGGTCACTGGCTTTACAAATAACTAACGCCCTCTGCTGTTGCGATCGTGTAGCGACCCCAGACAGCTGTCAGCCTGTATATTTGGTTTGATCCCGATTATAAGACGACTGCACATTTTCACATAGTTTTTAAAGAGAAAAAGAACTTATCTTATATTCGGGCCAATATGTTACGTCTAATTAACTATGAATTTATAAATTATTGCTAACGGGTTCTGTCATGCTGCAGCTCCAAGGGCAGAAAATATTTTTATTAGTTAAAATGAAATATCAAAGACTTTGACTTTAATATTAGTAGTATTTCTAAGGTTTATTTAATTCAGTATAATAATTCATATTAGATTGTCAGAACTATGGAATGTGATTTAAAACATTATGAAATACTTTGATAGAATTAATTTGGGCTTCACCATAAAAAATTTTTTCTTCATATTTGTAACGACTGTAATGTTAATTCAGGAACAGTAGAATGACACGCATCGTTTGGTGGGCAATCCTTTTTATCGTATTAAATCAGATACATTTAAAACTAATGAGGGTATAGTATTTCTAGAAGATGTACTTCTAAGTCTCCAAATTGTAGCCAAGACTGAAATTAGACAAACTTGTTTCTTCTCACTGTGCGATCAAAGCCCTCTGAAGGAGTTACAGGGGAATTCCTAAATTCAAGGACTTGGAGCTCATAACTAGAAATAATTAAATACCAGTGGAGGAACACAAAAAGATAAGATATATTTTGTTAAATATTAGTATTAATGGTTGTTTTTTGATGAAAGTGGAGGCTCATCTTTAATACAATATTAGAATAAGACAAAATACTGTTCTGAACCCAGTGATCTAAATATGTTTGAGATATAACAAATTTGATTTAGTGCAACACTATTCACAACACCAGATGACACTAGGTTCCATTTAGTCCTCAGAAGAATTAGAAAGTAGTAGAAATTTCCAACATCTGAGTTACTTTAAGTTTTTATAGCATTTCTTTATGTATGCAGCATGAAGTCAGTCTGTCTGTTATTATTTATGTTTAGGGGAGAATATATTTCAGTGCTGTGCATATGCGCATCATACTGTGTAAAACAGTTTTTTTGCCATTGTAAAGGCAAGAACATACCGGTTGTGTATGACTTTTTAATCTCTGATGTCACACTGACTGCGTATACAGAGGCTTCGACTAGGCAGCACGGGCAGATCTGCAAAGAGTTTTTCTGTTATTCTGTCTCTGTGCTATTCACAAATTAAAATAATTTCCCACATTTGACTGGGACAGATTATGAAAAAAACAAAAAAAAATACTGGTGCATTCTATAAAGCAAAGCGAGTTTGTGCAGCATCTCAAACCAGATCAGATAGAGAAAGTTCATATGTCTATATTATATACACATATTATATACACATAATTAGATCCACATCTAAAGAAAAGAAAAGCACAGCAATAAATGCCGTGGGATAGTTAATGTGCTGGCTGAGGCAGTAAGAGGTGATTCTCAGAGTGAGATCTGGGAATTTTATTGTGCCCCTCGTTATTTCACTATTTTACTAAATCCATTTTTTTCTCTTCCTTAAGCCAGCTTCAGGAAGTCTATTCCAGAAGCTAACTGTTTCCCCATGCGATTAACAGATTTTATTTTGTATTATCCCCCAAATCGTTTGAAAATCTGTATCCTTGAGAATATGTAACTTCGTCTCTCGTCCTGTCAGACCCGTGAAATTGCTGCATAGTCCGACTAAAATAGACCTGGGGGTCTATCTCAGTCAGACCTACGCAAGCCCCCTTGCATAAAATGGTGTCAGGTGTGATCGTCCAGATTCACTTTCAATTGACGCTAAACAACACAACCTTGTCTGAAACGATTTTCTGTTAATCAGACGCAAAATTGGATACTGTGTTTTCTGGCCTTAACAGGGGCTGTAGTGACCATAGAGAGTGTGGGAAAATGCAAGCAGGAAAATTTACTTTGGAAATTAATTCACTTCACATTCTCAAATTCAAGTTCAATGCATGTTCATATTTTAACAGATTTTTTTTGTTTTTCTCTACGGCAGATCAAGGTTGGCTCTATGTATCAAGCAAAAATCCCACCAATAAATCCCCATGCATCTGAGGAGAGAGGTAAGGGATTTTTAGTGATGTGTTTGTAGAGCAGACCCCTTGAACATTATACAGCTAATACTCCAAGGAAATACTTTCAGCTGTTTTATCTCTAAAGAATTTAAAAATTACAAAGTTACTATAACAGAACTAAGGCTATGCAATTATCTGAAATAGTTATCACCTCTTTTCCTCTGTCCCCTTCTTTTATGCCACTTTCTCTTCCTTGCCGTCATCCAGCCTACAGAGACGATGACCAGTTGCTTTGGAGGCCGGGGGTTCTGCCAGTGCAGGAAGTGGAAGAATTTTTGCTGAATGCACAAAAACTTTGTATCCAGGAGTGGGCGGTATGGACCCAAGGAGCCCCTGTCCAAGACAATGAGCAGGTACATCAATCCGACATTATATCCTATTCTCAGCAACTAGCAGTTTAGTGGACGTTTTTGTTTTGTTTTTTGTAGTGGTTTTTTGTTTTTGCAACAAACTATTTTAAAGAACCTCTTGCTTGGTTTTCTAAAGATTCCTCAGAAGAACTGTTGTCTTAGCCTAGTTTAAGTATATTTATTCCTTTATATATAGCTAACTGATGACATTTCCGGTTTCTGTGAAAGGTTGTAATATTTGCCATCTTTTTCACTGTTCTTTTAGGCATTGTATGAACTAGTGAAATGCAACTTCAATGCAGAAGAAGCTCTCAGACGATTACGCTTCAATGTTAAAGTGTTTAGTGGTAAGACTCTTGTTCAACACATCCGCAGCGACATCTGCTGGACTGGAAGTTGTATTCCACTTGGTTTGGCTGATGTGCGCCAAACATTTATGTATTTTATTTGTTCATTTTTTATTTTATTTTTATTTTTTTTAAATCCATTCTTGCCTTCAAGAATCGATGCAGTAGATCACAAAAATTAGAATCGTGATGCATCGTCATGATGATTATTTTGCACACCCTTACTTCCAACCCAACCTTAAACGTTAAACTGTTAAACTGCCGTATTCAATGAATTACCGGTTCAACTGGTTATGAAAAAAAACACTTAATCCATTTTTATAGGTAATCCTTTTAAGATGTGCTGTTGAACATTTAACCCCTAATATTTAAAGGTTCACCTTAAGACATAAGCTTGGTGTAAAAACATATATGCAGCCAACTTTAAAGTTTGCAACCCTTCTTCTCATGTTAACTTAAATAAACCTGAAATCAGATCTATGACTTTGGTCATTTAACAACTCTGTGGCTAGTTGAGTTGTAACTTATGGTCACAGTCTAATTAGAATATTGGTTTGTGCCAAAGCTTCAACTCTCTGCCTTGTCTTTGTTTTTGTTTTTTTATTTGTATTTATCCATTAGCTTCACATAATCTATTATGTGAAGTGCACCAGTTAATCCTGTAATAAAACACCCACAAAACATGACGCTGCCCCCGCAGCATAATTTTCACATCACACATACATTTTTTTATTTCCGAGTTTATTTGCAAACTTTTGTTTGACTTTTTATGTTCCTTTGTAGGAGATGGTCTTTACCTCCCTGATTGGTCTTTGAGCAGAGCAAACGCTTTCCAGTAGCTTTATTATTTTATTTTCCGCTTCAGTAGCATCTTCAGGTTTTTTTTTTTTCATTTTTTATAAGTCTTGTTTGTTTGTGTTCTAGATGTTTTCCAAACTCTGCTATCACACTGGAGTTTTATGGTAGCAGGATATGAAGATAAAAATGATACCACATTAAACTGGGGTATTTTAGAAAATATGAACATAGCAGCTTCAGATATGTGGGAACAACATGGACCAGACCTATGAAGGCTCACAGCACTCTGCTTGATAGCTTAGTTGATTTTCTAGATTTTTCCAAGATCTTACACAAGGAAGCATGTTTAAAGTGTTCCGTCACGATGCTTTCATTGGTGTTCCTCCATTTAACTTTGATGTTACGAAGTAGCCTAAGCTTTCATCGCCATGACATCATCATAATCATCATCATCCTGGCTTTCAGAAAATAGTTTGAATGCATAGAATATGTAAACTTCACAATTTAAAAAGTCAACATTTATTTTTTTAGAAATGGTTATTAAAACAGCATACTAATAAATCATTTAGTAAAGGTATAATATATATTGTAATATATAAAAATAGTATTACACTAATACATCATTTTAGTCCCATTAAGTGACCTGAAACATTTGATTTAAGAAAAGAAAGTGAGCATGAAATGTCACACTCCATATCTAAATGTCTAATTTCCACTGTAGTTTAACTCTTCAAATTTATCTAAAATGTGTTTCAGCTATTTCAAAGCCCGGTAACCTTATTTCTGTATCGTAAACCATTTGACAATAAAAGGTAGAGATGCACCGATCAAATACCTGGATCAGATATCTGTGGCAATATTTGTTATTTTGTTTGCCTTTACTGAATTAATAAAAAAAAAAAAAAAAAATGTTATATTGGCTAATTAGCTGGATCATCCTGTGCACTGAACTCTTATTTCCTTCTTTTGCTGCTAATTTTATAAAAAAAGAAATAATAAAAAGTACATTACTATCTGTGATAATTTGTTATATTTCTAAATAATATTTGTGTCAAGGCTAAAAACTTCACACACGTTGCAAGATATAAGGTTCCTTTATGTAACATTTGAATCAGATCAGATCAGTATGAAAAAACAAAATAAAAAAAACTCAGAGTTTATGCTCTAGCCTAAGGACTCTACAGGTAGATTATCAGCTAGTGTTGAATGATTTTTAGTGTAAATGAAAACATATGCTCTACCTGAACTGGATTATATTATTGTTCTCTGTTAACCTGCTTCTTTCAGAGGAGCTGTGCTGTTGGAGCGAGGAAGAGTGTAGGAACTTTGAGAACGGCTATCGTGTTTACGGGAAAAATTTCCATCTCATTCAGGCCAATAAGGTAAAAAATTAAATTCTGAACTTTTTCACCTCTGTATATTGTTAAAGGCACCATCTGTTACCTGTGGTTTATCAGTTTTTCTTCAGATTTCTTTCTACTGTAAAGGCAACCTTTGTTCTCACAGGTCCGAACACGCTCAGTTGGTGAGTGTGTAGGGTATTACTACATGTGGAAGAAGTCTGAGCGGCACATGTTCTTCAGCCAGCAAGCTACAAGGATGAGCCGAAAGAAGTACAGCATACAGTCAGGGAATATGTGAGTACTTCAGTCAATATATTTGGCAATAAATGAAGAGGATAAGTAAGATAATAGTAATTAAAAAAAGATGCTTAAAAGCAATTTGTTATTTCTAAAAATCAGTATTTATTCGATTTCCATCCATCCATTTTCTTACACGCTTAATTCCAAGTGGGGTCTTGAGGGGTGCCGGTGCCTATCTCCAGCTGTCAATGGGCGAGAGGCTGAGTACAGCCTGGACAGGTCGCCCGTTCATCGCAGGGCAACACAGAGACAAACAGGACAAACAACCATTCACGCACACACTGACACCTAAGAAAAATCTAGAGAAGCCAATTAACCTAACAGTCATGTTTTTGGACTGTGGGGGGAAGCCGGAGTACCCTGAGAGAACCCACGCATGCTCAGGGAGAACGTGCAAACTCCATGCAGAATTTATTAGATTTATTTATAAATATATTAATTGCTTATTTACAATATTTAGTTTTATATGAAGTAAAATTAACTACAGCAACTTGAAAAAGCATTCCTCCCTTAAATGTTTCAATGTTTTGTCACATTGCAATGTCAAACTTTTGTGTATTTTATTTGGCTTTTATGTGACAGATTGGCTATGGGGTGTAGAGAATAGCTATGAGTTGTATACAATTAAACCAAGTTTGCAAAATGCTGTGACAAGGTACAAGCAGAGCATTCTTTAGAGAAGCGGCAAAACGGCTTATATGTGAGCTATGTAGGAATTGGGGAGCCAGTCTGTTGAAGGTGCAGATATTGTCCTCTAAATCTGAACCTCATGGAAAGTTGATGAAAAGAGAGCCGTCCTGAAACAAAAACCATTAAAGTCCTATTTACATTAAAGCTGTTTGCTCTCAGTGTATCAAACCATTAAAACTAAAACTAAATTGTTATGCCCATATGCAATAATAATGCTGTGTGTCATGGTCAAAATACTCTTATCAGACAGCAAAACACAGTGGTTGTATTATGAAGGCCCAATTATACTGGATTTGAATATGATCAAAGTGGACATTAAACATCTCTATTATGCTCTGATGTAAGCCAACAGAGAAGCAACAATGTCTTTGCGTGACCCAATCCAGACTTACTGTAAACCAAACAGAGAATCTGTAACATCTGCACATTTAGAAAAGCGGAATGAGTAATGTGCAAAAACTCTTAGACTATGATGGGATGTGCAATAAAAATGAAGCCTTATATCAAGAATTACATGTTAACTTATACAGTAGTTTGCCCTAAGCCCACTGTTATATGTGCAATCTATTTAGCATAACCCCTAACTTGCTGTCCACAGGTGCAAGTTACATTTAAGTGCATGTAAATACTAGTAGACTCTGCACCATGACACTTCTAGTGCTGGGACTGTATCCACTTCAGATCTTTCAGATCTTTAGTGAATGTGTTTTTGTGTTTCAGTGAGGATGGAGACCAGGACACTGAAGGAGGAGATCTCGAGGGAAACAACACTTTGGGGTTGCTGTCAGAGATCTCAATGAGCTCTGAAAAGATGGAGTCCCCATTTCCTGCAAACACAAATCTAGATCTAAACAAGCAAGGTATAAATGAAATATATTTTTTGTTCAACTGTTAAACTTAATGCTATACATGTTCTTCATACAGAAGTTTCATTGAAACATGGAAGGAGAATACAATGGTTACAGTTTTTGTTTTTTGACCATTGATGTAATAACAAGCTTTTAAAAAAAACTGCAGGGAAAATGATTGTTTCATTTGAATAGGAAGGAGAGTCGTTATGTTAAAATTCTCTTGTATTTTGTTATAAAATTCAATTTTAGTTTTCATTAATGGTTGGATTCTTCTCTAATAATCTTATGTTTAGTTTCATTGTTTAGTTTCATAATTCTATTTAATTTCTGCCATCAAGACATCATCGGTTGCTTCATCCTCATTATGTTTTTGTTATGTCTCCCCACCTTTGTTTTCTCCCACCTTTACCTTCACGTGTCTTGTTCTCTTTGTGCATGCATGTCTGCATGTCTGTGTTTGTCGGATGTGCATGTTTGTCCTTGCACGGTTCGTGACGGCTTTCTGCTCCAGAAGAAGAAGGCCGCCCCAGACGCAGACGAACTCCCCGCTTTCTGTTAAAGCCATGACCTTCGTCCACATGCGCCACAGAAAGCAGGCTGGGCCTGCAGGTAAAAAAAAAAAAACTTAGTGTAGAAAATTGTGGTCACTGAAAATGAATGTGATGATCTATTATTGAAAAGATGGTCACTTAGAATTGCAATGGTTTATTGTGGTTTATTGTGTATCTTGATGCAAATTGTATCACTAGAAAATAACACCCTGCATAATCCCACATTTGGTTACATTACTGACTTACTCTGGTTTTGGAAGGGAAAAAGTCAAATCTAAACACTCCAATCCTACCATGACAAGGCAAGAACAACTTTGTAGGAGGATGTGCAAATTACTCCGCATTGGTTAATCCAGTGTTTTTTTAGTGTTCACACCTATTGGTTACCATTCTTTTAAAGCAATCTCTTCAAGCCTAGCACACTGTATTTATACTGTGTCCCAGCATCACAGTAAAGCAGTGCATCAGGTCAGTCATAAGATCACAGATGAATATAGCCACCCACTCTCCCATCACTTTGAGCTCCTTCCATCATTGCAGAGATACAAATCGCTATGTAAAATGTGTACAGAAATTAGTTTATGCCCTCTGCCATCAAGGAGCTGAACAAGTAAATGTCACTTGGTTCTAATTATACTTTTTTTTAATGCTGCACAATATTTTTGTATCTTTCCCTTATTGTGCCTTAAAACAGCTCACTGTTAAGTGTCTGCAGACAACGTCCTTTCTCCGTTCCTTCTCTGATGCCCACTGTCAGCTGTAAGACATTATGTTTGTGTGTTCCATTCCACCACATCAAGTTATCTGTCAGAAAGCAACTCATGGACAATCATTACAATTCAAATAACCCAGAGCTCAAAGCAAGATTGCAGTATATAATATTTTAAAATAATTTTAATACATTTTCTAGGAAATGTATGAAATCATGTTTTTCTTATTTTAAGCTTTAGACTTAATTGGATTCTGTAAATACCATAGTAGCCCGTATATAGGACCAGGGTTTTTTTCCAGTTAAAAACGATGTGAAAATGTTGGGAGATCTTATAATCGGGGTCTAACCAATTATACAGGCTGACAGTTGTCTGGGGTTGCTACACGAACATAACAGCAGAGGGCGCCAGTTTTCTTTAAAGCCAGTGACCTCACTGTGGCTGGATTCATCTTTGTATCAAAACAGAAAAGAAGTGACAAGGATGCTACAAATAGAGAGTCACTGCCTGGAACAGAGTGCATCAAAACTCAGAGTTATTTTAAAATAGTAGTGGTAAATGCAGCCAAGGCATCAAACTGTCTGGCAGCAAAGAAATATGGCGTTGACTCTCCTCCTCCCCCTGGTGTGGAACAGCATTTATTATTGAGTGCTGTTTAGTTCCTCAAACCTTACTAAGAAGTTGTTTAGTTAATTTACGAAGTCAGCATCAGCTGCATCTACCGGGGACGAGGGTGTATAGTAGTCTGTGATCGCCCTTATGCCTTGCCACATCCTCCTGGTCTTGCTGGCATCATGGAAAAGATCCTAGATCTTCCGGCTGTGTTTCTGCTTCGCTGATCTGAAGGCACGGTTTAAGTTGGCACGTGCTGTTCTCAGTACCTCTCTGTCACCAGACTTGAAATCTGAGTACTGTGCTATAAGCCTCATGCAGGTTTTAGAGACATTCCTTGAGCAAAGTTCAGATTGTATTTGAGTTGAAGTGTTGCAAGATTTCAAATAAATGTGTCATTACTGTGTTTTATTTTTTTATTTTATTTTTTTTTTTACTTTTTATTGTTTAAGAGTATAGTGGAGGATGTTCTTTTTTCGGGTGGATCATCAAAATAACTGATCCTCCTAATTGTCAATCATTCTGGTGATATGTTTAAGTAAGGTGCTCTTCCCCATTTTCACTTCCTGGTGACGAGTCTGACATAGTGGAAAAATTGCATATTTTGTATCGGCGATGCAAACAGCATCTTGTAAACAGAGCGTGCACAAGGAGAAATAGGCTTGTGCATGCTCTCACAAGCGGTTAATATGCGTTCCCTCTCAGGAGTGGGTACAGGGTTGTGCATGTGCATTTTTTTTCTAAGTTGAGAAGGCTGGCTCCGCTAACCTTTAATTTAACAAATCCTTTAATGGAATATTATTCTAATGAAATTCTTATCACTTCTATAAAAAAAAAAATGTTTTCTTTAAACAAAATAACTTTGGTTTATCATTTGTTTTTGTTTTTTGGTCTTTGTTTTGTTCCTAAAACTGATCCTGGAAAGGGGGTCGTCTTATAATCAGGGTCGTCCTATATTTGGGTCAGTACGGTATATCGAACATAAGTTTTAGATGGGTAACAGGATGCAGAAAAAAAGTGAGGACATGAATACATCTGAGCTGATGCTTCTTGATCATTTCAAATACAGGTGTTTACTGATTATTATTTCCAACTGAGCCCTTCCATATTTTTTCTGGTGTCTAATGACCGGTGTTGCTCTTCTTTTATGGGGATTTAATCTCTGAAAATGTTTAGCAACATTTTTCAAAAGGTTTTAAACTTCAAAAAGACTTATAAAAATCTTTGCTCTTCTATTTTTGTCACTTAGATAAAGAAGAAGGCTTGAAAAGAAATTCTTAAATTACAGTTAAGGGTGTCTAATCTGGTTTTAAAAGACTGATAGGCTTTCTTTTGTCAGTATTACCAAAGTCTACACTTATTCTTTGAAAAATATTTTCAACTTGTGTGTTTTGCTTAATTCTGTCTTCTGTTCAATAAAATATGTTTTCATGAAAACTTTGAATACTATTTATTGAAAGATCAAAGACCCGATGAATCTGAGCATTTATTTGATTTTACATCATTTGAATTTCTCTCTGTGTGCTCAGATGGTGAGCTGGTGATGAGTCTGTCCGAACTGTGTGACGACGATTGTCCTCAGCAGCTTTTCGACTGTCCGTTCTCTTTCTCATCCATCGAAGAACTTGGAGACCCTGACTCGGATCGTCTGACGGCTTCGGTGCAGCTCCATCCTCAACCCTCTGACCAGTGCCCCGAGTGGGCCAGAGGAAGCCCTCAGTCCCACGATGACGATGACCACTGCTTTCTAAACTCCTGCTTCTACCAGCTGCACATGCAGGGCAGACCTTTTGTTTCCGATGGCTGTGGTGTGGCAGCTGGTGGAGCTCACGCCTCCCACACTCTGCAGGTGGAATTTAACCTTCCTTCAACCTCGGCTTCCTCATCCGCCCTCCTCTCATCAAATTTCCAGGCATTTGGCGGCCTGCTGCACCCCTAGCACTGTTTGCATTCTCCCCCTCAGAAAGAATTTGGGGTACATAGAAAGGTAAAATCTGAGATGAGATTATGCTGTTCATTTGCTCTGCAGAGAAATATTTATCCATACAGTTTTTATACCAGAAAAGGATGGACCTTTTGCACTGGAGTAGAGCTTGTTATCAACGTCCGTCCATTGCTGAATGTTGAGAGAATAATGGACCTTTTAAAGCCATCAGGTGTATATCTGTTAAATACAAATTTGTTAAAGCACAGTGGATGGGATGAGGGCTGCACACCAATTTTCAAAATCACTTCCATTATCTTTAACTTATTTTATTTTGTTATTGTTTTTGTTATTACATATTTTGTTTTGCATCATGCACATCAGTTGCTTGCTTTTGGTAATTTTTAGATATGGTAATTGTTTTTTCCTTTGTCCCCTAGTTCTGCCTCATTTTTTGTTTTTTTTAGTATCTGGGTGAAACTTTTTCATATTAACGTTAAAACCTGAATGGAAAATATTTTATTTAATATAGATTAGTTTAAACGCAAAGCCATATATGAGCACAACAGTCCATTTACATTTTTCTCCCATTTTGATATGTAATGATTAGGTTTCTACATGTCTTTTTTTTTTTTTTTGTATTCACTGACTTCCCACTAATTTCCACTTCTAGTGGAACTTAGTTCAACTAAAGCATCAACAGATGTTGTGTTTTGAGGTCAATGTAACTTCCTTTTTTCTCCGTTTCCATATAGCTCACACCTTTGAGCCAGGAAACGAACCCACCTATTACACAATTTAAAATACTGGTTCCTACCTCGGCTTTATTCATATTTAACTGAACACTTACATTTAGTTTATCCAGAAAACGAAAGGAGCTGTCATGCACCTCTACTGAGCGACATTTTGGGCTTTTTGTGTCACATCAGATTATATTTCAGTTAGATGCTCTGGTTTAGTTGGATAACAGTTATGCATTTGTTTTTTTATCCCCTGCAGTTGCTTTGCTTTTGAAAATAAAAAGCCTGAATGAAACAAAGTTCTTTATAATAAACAACCAACCAACCAAGGAGCAGCACTCAGGAAATGTATGTAAAGATGATTTCTGTTCATGTCTGACCTGGACAAGCGATGTCTGCACATCTTATTTGCCTATTTATGTAATAATGGTAATAACAGTTGAAATTCCCTTTTTGTCGTATTCATATGGTTTATATTTACACCTTGCTGCTTTTTGGCGACTCTAAAATGTCAAGAAGTTTCCGAGACGAAGTGAATTAAATCCACTTCAATGCTTTACATCTAGAATCCTTCATTTTTTTTATTTCCTGTAATAACTGGCCATGTAAAGCATGCTCAAATTGGAGTAAATCTTTCTGTTTTGTCTTTTTAAACATGGTTTGAAAGACAGTTAAAGTAGTAAAAATTAGCTGAAATCTCTCTTTTGGTTATTCCTTTTTGTTCTTATAAATTTATATATCTATATATATTCAATTTATGAATTACTGTCATATGTCTTTTAAATATAGTTTGTAAATAAACATCTGAAAGTAAACCCACCAGTGTAAAAATTTAACTTAGTGTTAAATTGGTTTGAGTGTTTTCTCATGATTTGTTGCCCTGAAATTATTTGATATTGAAGTTTATTCACATACACTAATTTGGATTCTTTACTTTGAGTCATTCTTTAAAAGCAAGAGATTAAATTGAAACAGAAAAAAAAGATTTAACTTTGCAAAAGTGTCAGTCTGCTCTTTTCTTTTTCCATGAGTTCCTGAGGGTGTTGATAGAGAAGACACTCTGTTGGTGTCTTCTGAAGATGATCACTAATGTTTTTGATTTAATTTTATTTTTCCTTGTGAAATTATCTAGAGAGGTTCTAATGAAAGGTTCTGATAACACAGCTGGTCAACTTTCATGTTGTTCAGCTTATTTTAATTTGTTTTGATGCAGGTTCCTTAGCAGATGATTGTAGAAGAGATCAGACTCTCTACAAGAGATTTATTGAAGATATGCATCATATTGCTGCCAATGCAGAAGGACATAACTTTCCTTAGAAAGTATAGTCTTCTCTTTCCATTCTTGTACACAGCCTTACAGTTGAATTTTCAGTCAAAAGTGTTGTCCAGGTAAACAACAAGGTAATTATACTTATTATAGTACTGTACCACCTCAACTTTCTCTCCCAAGTTGAGAAGAATGCAACCTTCTCCTGTTTCTTTTGAAATCTACATTTCCCTCGTTTTGTTGACATTCAGGATCAGATGATTGTTTCAACACCATGTAACAAAGCAGTTCCTCAGCTCTCTGTACTCAGCTTCTTTTCCAGCTGTGATGCACCCAACAACTGCACAGTCATGCAAGTATTGATGCAGATGACAGGAGTCTGTCTTGTACTGGAAGTCAGAGGTGTACAGAGTAAATGGGAATGTTGGAATTCTGTCCCCTGTGGTGCTCCTGTACTGCTGACTATCTCGGGCCTCTTTTCTCCTAGTCTGTAGAATTTGTTAGTTCAACCTCTAGCGTTATGCACGCTCTGATTTTTTGTCTTATATTAGCTTCATCTGGTCTGTTCCTGTTTGGCTGTGACACCATCCTGGAGAGAAATATCAACTGAGCTGCTCTAATCAACACCTTTGGTTTATACAGTTTGGAGCTCGGCCTATTTTTCAGTGTAGTCCTGTTTCTCTGACTGGCTGGATGTGCTCTCTTCGTCCTCTGGTGTGGGGGCGGGCTCGGGGTTCACCTGCCTGGCTTTGTGTTTCCTGGACGGGGCTGCCTGTGGAGCTGGATAACAAGTTTCTTTGTATCTCTGCTTCTTTCTGTATGTCGGCCTCGGCAGATGGTCGCTTACACTGAGCCTGGTTCTGCTGGAGGTGTCTTCCTGTTAAAAGGGAGTTTTCCTCTTCACTGTCACTATAAGCATGTTTGGTGTGAGGGATTCACAGTGAGCCTGGTCCTGGTTCAGGTCTTCCACATCACTGTAATTGTCTCCTGGGTCAGACTAAGGGTGAAGAGGTGCTGTAGAATCCATCAGAGCTGCTCTGCACAGGACTCTGCGGCTGACACCATCTGGACCTGGTGACATTGTGATGCAGCCTCCCCAGCTGCGTCTTCAGTTGACTTTTAGAAACAGACAGGTGGAAGTTGAGGGGAACAGCATTATTGTCTGATTTGTCTAAAAACAAACACATAAAAGCAGGACAGTTTATGGTAGCGGTGGAAGATTTGAGGTGTGGCAGAGAAGCTTTGGATCAAAGGAGTGTGGGGTGTCCATTTCACTGTGGGCATGAGAAAGGGATACTTAGCTTTTCCTCAACAGAGCCTAAGGAAGAACATATTTATCTATTTTTGGCTTCCCAGACCTAAATCTATTTCCCAGACTGTTCATCTATGCCCCTTCTTTTCTACTGTTTTAACCTTAAGATGCTTCTGTACACTCAATGTTTCCTTGTTTTCCTTTCTGAAGGATCCTTTCTTGTTCTGCAATTGCTTCAGATTACTGATGATCCAGGGTTTATTATTGGGAAAGTATTTTACTTGTATATTGGGGATGGTCTTCATAGTTCTTTATGTAGTCAGTCACATACTCAGTCATTGCACCAACATCCTCTTCATGTGGCCAAAACAGCGCATCCAAGTCTGTAGCCTCAAAACAACCTTGCAGGGCTTCTTCAGCTTCCTCTAACCATCTTCTTACAGTTCTTTTTAATGCATGTTGTCTCTTACAAAGGAGCTTAAACTCTGGGAAGAGAAAAACAAGATTGTGATGCAATTTCCCAAGAGGAGGCTAACTTGAACAACACTTGGCCTTGGCAGATGGCTGCTCACAGTGAGTCTGTTTCTGCTGGAGGTTTCTTCCTGTTAAAGCAAGTTTTGCCTCTCCACTGTCGCCACAAGCATGCTTGGTGTGAGGGATGGCCTTTGAGTCAATGGTTAAAGTGCCTTGAGATGACTCGTTGGGAATTGACGCTATATAACAATATAAAACTGAAGTTATATAATTGAATTGAATTGAACTTTAGTGAGACATTTGCATAAAATAACTCCAGAAATTTGTTTTCTCTGGTTCAGCAGCTGACAAACTTTTGGGGTTAGGCATAATTAAAATCACCAGTTTTTGCCACAAATACAATTGGCTGCTGTATCTGTAGCTCAACAACAGCAGAACTGATCACATCCCATGCAGTGTCAGCAATAGCAGTGGGTGGAATGTCAGTAGTTACCAAAAGAACACTGGTAAACTCTGGGAGAATAATATGGCCAAAAAAACAACTGCGAACAGTTAAATATCTGGGCTGCAGAGATGAATCTTCACAGTAACATGTCCTGGATGACACCATCTGTTGTTCACAATCACTGCCAACCCACTTCCCTTGAGTTTTCTAGCTATCTATAAATTCTGCTGATTTGTATGTCAGAAAGCCTGGCAGAGAAACCCTGGAGTTAGAGATATGATCCTACTGCCATGTGTCAGTGATTCACATTTTACTGTATTGCCATTATTTTTGACTGGATCCTTGTGAGGGCTTGGTGTTCTACTTGTTTCCTAACGATCTTGCATTGCTCATAAAAATAGATGGAAAATATGGCTTGTGTTTTCTGCTCCTTTCTGTCAGTACAACTGGTAACAAAGTCCAGGTCTTATTTCCACCTGCAAAATCTTCATGGTTTCACTTGCTTGATATGCAGATAAAACATAGTTATTGGTTTTTATTTATATTCTTTTTGGTAATTATCATTTGATACAGAGAAATAAAGCATATTCTTTTCATTATCAGGATGTGTCTGGCTGGACTGGAGACAACATGAATTCATCTAGTGATGTCAGCGATTACTGAGTCCATGCAGAAGCATAATCAATTCAATAAATCATTTAAAAGAATGGATTACACAGCCAAAAAAAGTAAAAAAATGTACTGCTATAAAGCAAATTTTAATACATTGATACTCAGTTTATTTGCTAATATTGGGTACAGTAGTTCAACATCTCGCTTTTTGTTCTCTCTGCTCTTTCCTTTCATTGTAGCAAAGAAAAAAGAGACAAAAAATCGGCTGGGCTGCTGCCATCCACACATTTGTTTATAAATGAATATGTTGGATCTGTTTTTCAGTGCTTGGTTCTGTTTCTGTTCTAGGACTTTGGGCTCTGTAATGCCTTTTAGCATAAAACTGCCTCAGCGTCTGTCTGACTGTTTCTTTCCTAGATAAAGCCTCCTGTGGAGCTACTTTACCATAAAATTTTCTAACATAGAAAATATTTGTGGATTAGTGCTTCTATCTCTCCCTCTGTCTTCTCAATCCCCCTTCAGCCTTGTCATAAGGCAGCATTCTCTATGCTTGGTTCTGCTGGAGGTTTCTTTCTGTTAAATGGGAGTTGTTGTTTTTTTTTCTTTAGCTGATTTTCCCTTAGATAGAAAACTTTTATCGAGTCTGACTGTAAAATCTGTTGAATTGAATCCGTAAAGGCAATGGCATTATATAAATAACTGTATTTAATTTTATTCAAATAACATGTAAAATAAGTTATATTCAAAGCAAAAGTGGATTGAATGAATATAGAGGTTCTGTGTTTGAGGCTAAATAGAAGCATCATCAAATTCTTCATACAACTTAGGCTGGGTTTGAGTCTTATTAATGTTAACTGTTACATTTTCTTTAATTACATGACAGAAACACGAATCATTTGTTTTTAAGGCCATTTTTGAATCCACAGCTCAACATGAATGTTTATGTGGAGTAGAAAGACAGTTATAGTATCAGTTTTGTTGTGTTTTTTGGCACGTTTCCTAACTGAGCAAGATTACCTTAGGGTACCTCAGTGGGAACTACCACAAACGAGCGCTTCTGCAAACAGAAAGCGGTTCTGTGTCTAATGATTTATTTTCACTTCCTGATATACCTGGCAGCAACCAGTTAAGTTGGATATTCCACAAGAATGAACAAGGTAAACCGGTAAGATGAGGTCGTTTCCAAACACTTCAACGGACAAACTAATGAGAAATGAGGAGTCTTTAGGCACTTGAAACAAGGTTAAACCTTATTTTAAAAGCATTGAATGTGAAAAGAAAAAGTAATTATTACCAGTGAATCCAATTCTACTTTTCTCTTCTGAAGTCAATGCTCAAATTAAGTTTTTTTCTTTTCTTTTCTTTTTTTTAAACTAAGGTCTGATTACTAGCAAAACTTAAATATTTGTTCATGTTTTTCTTTAATTGTGCTGTTTCTTTTTCCTAGTCACTGAGACTTCAATGATGCAAACAACCACAAGAGGGCAGAGAAGTCTTATTTAAAATAAAATTCTTTCTTGCATTTTTTTTTATTTTTTTTTACGATTTTTTTTTTATTCTGTAAATTGTTACCATTTAATCTGCCTCATGCAAAATATAAAAACTGTAGCAACAAAAATCTTCACACAGTCTGATATAATTTTATTTAACTCCCTTATGTGCAAAAGTCATTTAAAAGCTGCAGTCCAGTGCACACATGCATGAAAGATATTTCTCTGCAGTTCTGAACCAGTTTGCTCCAGGGGGGAAACACAATGTTGTTGCTCAGACCCCAAATACAGTACATTACAGAAGTATTTACACTAGTAGAACTTGTTTTTGATTGGTCATATTTGAACTTAGATAACAATGTATCTGATTGTGATGTTGTGTGACTGAACAACACAAAGTGGTACACAGATGAAGAGGAAATTGTACAGGATAATTATTGGTCTGATTACAAATAAAATCTCAATGACAACTGCAATGATGGGTGCAAGTCTTTGAGGTATATCTCTACTATCTTCAGACATCTTGCAGAAAAATGCTTGAGCTCAATCAGAATGAATAGAAAGTTTCTGTGAACAGCTGTATTACATCTTATGATAGATTTTTAATAAAAAATATGTCTAGACTTTGATTGAGCCATCGAAACAGATGGATATTTATTGATCTTACTCATGCCATAATAGCCCTGGTAGTGTGTTTAGAGCAGGGGTCTTCAATGTTTTCCAAGCCAAGGACCCCCAAACTGATGGCGAGATGGAGCGGGGACCCCCTAATTGTATATATATTGTATGAAATTGTGTTATAATAGACTGGTCCTATAGTCAGTCTAATACAGATGGAGTAATGTAACGAAAGTAATTTCTCTCTGGGATTATTAAAGTATTTCTGATTCCTGGTTGATGGGACAGGTGTTGTGAATGAAATGATGCCCAGTTTGAAAGAGCTCCTGTGTGTCGCTGAATGTGTGCATTGATGACTGAAAGACATCTTCTGCCTCCATTTAACTGTTTACTACAGTGTGTTGAATTCATGTTAATGTGGATTTAAAGACATTTCAATTAGTGGAAAATTAAAGGGGTGAATATAAAAAAAGTCTAATCAACCAAAAGTTTCACGACCCCCATGCAGTACCTCCGTGGACCCCCTAGGGGTCGCGGACCCCCTGTTGAAGACCTCCGGTTTAGAGTGAAAGTCAATCTCCACCCCAGTCTCAACCTTTTGCAACCTCAGTATCTATCCCAAGGTCGCTGTCAGATGCCCCATGTACTTCAGTCAGCTTTCCAGCATGCGTGTGCATGCTAAAAGCTTCCCACAGCATCATGCTGCCGTAACCTTGTTTCAGAGTGGGGTAGTTTGTTCATGACAGATTGTGTGGTTCCTTCTCAGACATTTTTTTTCATGAAGTCCAACAGCTTTTTTGTTTTAGCTGAGCATAGCACCTTCTTCAGCATGTTTGATTCACGACATGGTTTGTAGTAAACAGCAAATTGTACTTCTTAAAGTGTTACCCCAAAATTAACCTTTTTTTGCATTTAAACTTTTAAACAATGGTGTGCATTTTTAATGTTACTGTGCAATTTCTTATTTTTTCATATTTTATAGTTCTTCAGTACTTGTCTCAAACAGTCTAAGTGTTTCCTTAAGTGGTTAAACTTTGGCAACTGCAGTTGAATTTTTCTGATGGTTCATGCTAGTATGTGCCACTAGCCATTTCTATCCAACTGAAATGCAAAGTTTAAGTAACTTTTAAATGTAATTTCAAATGCTAATTTGTATTTTTTTTTCCATTTAGTTTGAAGTGAATTAACTAAGCACCAGAAAGTAGAATCTTGTCATATCTAGTTGTCCACATTATGTCGTCAAGCATGGCTGTAATAAACAGGAAGTAGAGGCTGTAATCTTGCATGGACTATAGATCAGTAATAAAGGAAAGTTTTAATAAATGCGTCATTATCTAGGAAGTTGTGCTACATCAGAGCTTATTGAAAAAATAGTTTCTATCCCCTGTTGTGTGCATTTATATTTTTCGCAAAAGCCAAAAACCACTCCAAGCGAACATAAAACCTTTATGCGAATTTTTGAGGGAGTTGTTTCACCTTTATGATGCAGTACTTAAAAAGTGCATTAGAAAACGCTGATGGAAACGCATTTTATGTCACTTGCACACAATATTTCATAATAACCCCCAATTCAGGCATGGGAAAATTATGAATTTAAGGACTGCTGGTGAAGATTCTCAGTCATCAAGGTCATAATCATTCATAACATTTTAAAAAAACAATCCACTAGACTTTATTTCCAAGTTTGAAGACGTTTCCATCCCCATCCAGGAAGCTTTTTCAATTCAAATTCAGGAAGCTTTGAATTGAAAAAGCTTCCTGGATGGGAATGGAAACGTTTTCAAACTTTCAAACAAAGTCTAGGGGATTGTTTGTTTATTAAACTTTTTTGAAGGATTTTTATTACGTTTTTACCAGAGGTACGCCTCATACCAAAGAACAATCCTTTAGAGTGCTTTTCTAGTTTCTTTCTGAAGTTAAGCTTAATGATGTTCTTTTAATCTTAAGCTAAGTCATCTCCCAAACTCCTGCTGAACCCTCAAAGCAATCCCCACATCTAGCCCCTCCCATCCTCTTGGCACTCAGTACTATGGAGGTATTTTTCAAACTTTGCTTAGGGGCAGGGTAAAGTAATGTTTTTTTTCCTTAAATTGAGGTAGGTTACACTTTTTAAGGTTTTGTTCTTACTCCTCACCAACTTTCTGGCATATAATGTTCTCCTTTCAACAGATAAAAAAAGCATAGTGGAACGTTAATCATTTGTGTTATACCTTCATTCCAGCTTTAAATGTCCCTACAACTTTACCTTTGACCTTCCAGCTAGTTTCTTGATTTAGTGTAGTATCTTTTTCCTTTAGAATATGATATATGTTTCTGTGATGATTTTGCAGGTGATATAAAATATAACTCCTAAATTAAAGATCTGTATAGTTCTGTCAGAATTTTAAAGCATTGTTATTTCCATCCAGCTAATGGATGCTTTAATCATCTAACAGTTCTCAGATGTATGTATGTATGAATGGCTATATGTATGTTTATATGAACATTAATTGATTTATATACTCACTTGACATTTTGAGTATCTAATATGTAATGCAGCAATCTGGAAGATTGTTGGTGTTGAGGAAGGGATATGAATAATAACTTTTACTACTTCATACCCCTTTTCAGACATATACGGAAGAGGATTAGGGCCGCTGAAAAAATGTAAAAAGATAACTGATTTTTACATTTTATTTCAGTATAATGTGAGAAAAAGGTCAGAATTCTGATTTTTTTTTTTTTTTTCAAAATTGGGACTTCTGACTTTAATCTCAGAATTCTGACTGAATTCTGACAGCTAACAAACATGTTAGCATCAAGCCGTAGCCATTTCTGTTTTAGAGACTATCTCTCTTGTTTTAAGCACCTTCTGCTCCTACATTAATGAAATAGCATCACCTAGTCGCCTAATTCCGCCATTTTCCACCAATGTGTCAGTGAAGCTGAGTGCTCTCACATCTGTGCCTTCATGGTGCCCATCTACATTAAGATCCAAGATTCTGAGATTAAAGTCAGAATTCTGACAAAAAAGAATTCTGAGAAAACAGTCAGAATTCTGAGATTAAAGTGAAAATTCCGACTTTTTTCCCATATTATATTAAACTGAAATAATATTAAACAATCATAACTTTTTTTTGTTTTTGCAGTGGCCCTAAACCTCTTCCGTGGACATAAGCACTGAATTATGTATATGGTTTAATATAGCACCAATAATGCATCAAATTGCGTGTGTTAAATTTGCGATTTTGTTTGATTATCTGAAATAAGGTTATTGATTCAATGCTTTACATACACCAGAGGAGAAAAAAGCTGAGAGGCTCTATCTTGCGTTTTCTCAGTTGTGCGTAAAATGAGTGAAATATTTGCGACGATGAGTAGCTATTAGTCCAAGTGGTGCCAGAGGAGGAAGTGGGGAGGAGGGACCAGAGGCAGATGGGTGGTGTGTGTGAACACAGACTGCAGGCTGGATGGTTCTCAGTAGGGACTCTAACAGCGCCATGGAATCTGGAGGCTCTCCATTGCTGCCTCGGGTTATTTTTCTCCAGCAGTAATGCGCACTCAGTGGTGCTGGATTTCAGAAAGCCCGCAGACTATCTGCCACCCAGAAACACGAGTTTCAGAAGAATTACGCACATCAGCCGCAAGTCCAGGCAGTGGTGAAAAAGAGGATCACGGAAGAACCAGTTCTGCAGGTTTATTTCAATAGATCGTAACTCAAAGTGAGAGAACACAAATGCACTCGTTTGCTCCACAAAACAAGTAGGTTTTTTTTTTTTAGATATATTTTTCACATGACTAACAAAAGGAAGATGTCGGATTTGATGAAGAAGAGGCTTTACGTGGCTATGGACGTGATCTGCGTTCTTGTTGGTAAGTTATGGAGACAAACTTTCCCAAACTTCTTGTCCTGTCTGGTTTTATCCGAGGTTTTCATTTCATGCTGTCAGCAAATATTCAGCCGCGGGTCAAATCTTCACTTCGACAGCAGATTCTTTCTAATAATCCAGTGAGTTTGGCTTTATTCCACAGAGCAGCTGAAACGCCTGTAATGTAAAAAAAAAATACAAAGAAAGTAGAAAAATGGTTCAAATTAACAATTTTTGTGTGAATCTTGTTAAAGCTTATTGTTAAAGCTGTGTGAAAACTCAGCCATACTTTACAGAGCCGCAGGAACTTCAATGTTTGTTTATGGAAATGTGATATGCATGCGCACGCAGCGCCTATTTCTCATTTTTCTAAATATTTTGTCTGCCAAGAATGGTTTAAAGAATGCTGAACTAATTACTGTTCAGTATTTTTTTTTCTGGCTTCTACTGAAGTTCAGCGCATGACTGTTGATGGGTCAAACTTCAGGCAGAAGTCAATTTAAAGGGACAAGGGATGCAGAGGAACAAGGGTTTCAACCTGAACGGATTAAACTCTGTTATAAAACATGAAGTTAATATGTAATTTAGGACCTGTAGGAGTGAATGATTAGCAATAATTTCTACAAAATAAGAGATGTCTACATATTTTTTTCTTTTTCTAACAACCCTTTCTAAGGCACTCAGTGAAATACTTTGAAAATCAAAATTTCAAGCCAATGGTGTTATTGGAATCCAGGACAAGACCTTCAAAGAATATCAATATTTTGATGGCAAAAATCAATGTTAATGTAAAAACAAGAACAGCAAACTTGCCCGAACATATTAAGAAAAATAACAAAAGTGCTTCTATAATATATTCATGAAAAACACTCAGAGTGAAAGGAACACATTTTTTTATGGTTCACCATAAATTGTAGCAGTATAAGCATTAATGCTAATATAATTGTTAACTAGGCTTAACTAATTGTTAATACTAACACTGTTAGTATTTTTCACAGTTGTTTACATGCACAATGTACATGAACACTTCACATTCAATATAAGATCACATAAAAGCTTTGCTTGGGAGCCATTTCTCTATTCAGGCATCCCCAAATTCGGTCCTCAAGGCCCCCTGTCCTGCAGGTTTTAGAGGTTTCCTTGCTCCAGCACTGTCACAGTCTTGGTTTTCCATTTGTTGTCCTCTGCTGCCCTCTTGTGTCCTCTTTCCCTAGCTGTGTTTTCTGCTCTGCCCTCACCTGTTTTCAATCCCCTTGTTAGCCCTCTCTTTGTCTCTGTCCCCTTTAAAAGCCTCCCTCTTCAGTTCCTGTTTGCTGGATCCTCGTCTAACGTCTGTCTGCCTACCTCGTCTCTCCCTGGTTCCTAGAGTTTGGGTTTCCCCTGATGTCTCCTCGGTTCTGGTTCGTTTGTTATTTTTTGTTGGATTTTTGATTCCTGCCTCAGTTCCTGTGAACCTAATTAAACTCACCTAAATTCACCTCTGCCTACTTGCCTCTGCATTTGGGTCCTCAAACCAACACCAAATCCTGACAAGCACAGCTGATTTTAATTAAAAGCTGATTAACAGGCTTTTAATCTCCTGCAATCATCATAACCAGCTGTGCTGAAGCAGAGAAACCTCTAAAACCTGCAGGACAGGGGGCCTTGTGGACCGAGTTTGGGGATGCCTGCTCTATTTCACCCTTGTCCCATCTGGTTTGTCTAGTTCTTTATTTTTTGTTGCTGTCTGTTGTCTTGAATGTTGTCTATTTCCTCCACTTTTCTTCCATTTGAGTTTACTGAAGTCTCAATTGATGTCTTTTTTCCATAATGTAGATTTCTTCTATTATTCCACCTTTTTTTCTACTTAATTTACAGTAGGTAATATATCATTCAACGGTTCATCTAATTGGTCAAATGCCAAAATAAAATGTACAGCCATGTAGCAGTGTCTTAGCTGAATGGCTGGATATAGATCTTGTGCTTCTAGACCTCACTGAGGGTCGCGGGGGGACTCCATTTGTAAGAGGAATGCAAGTGATCAAAAATAGTAACTTGCCCTATAAAGGGTGAACTGGTAAATACTATGTTTTATAACACATTTCAGTGATATGACAATTGAAAGTGATGTGAATTAATAACACATAGATAAAGAAAGTCAGAAAAGTATAATAAAGTGGGATACTAAAGGCAGGTAAAGGAACTGTGATGTTCCAGTCACCAGTTTAAATAAAAAAAGTCAAACTTGGATTTAAACAAATACATTTTTTAGCTAAATTCTTAGCATCTTCTGGCACTTTTGCAGTCATCTGAGATTATTTCAGATAATCGGAGCATAAGAACTAAAAGCAGCCATTTCTGGTTCTGGCTATGCAGAGTAGTACTGAGCCAGAAGAGACCTGAGTGGTGGAAACACTGACAAAAAGTCTGTAATGTATTTTAAAGCTAAGCCATTCACTGATTCATAGACTAACATACATATTTAAAGTCTATTCTTTAAGATAAAGATATATACAGTTAGAATTTTAGAACTTCAATGATGTGCTCTACTTTCTTGACATTAGTGAGGACACAGGCAGCTGCATTCTGGATTAACTGTAGCCGTCTGGTGAACATTTTATGTAGACCTGTGAAAACCCTGTTACATTAATCAATTAGAACATTTATAAACGCATGGATGAGGATTTTTTTCATAATTCTCGGTAGGAATGAACTAAAGGATACAAAATATTGTTTCCTTCCGAGCCTGAGTTTTCTGAGCCTACATAAGCCAAGAAGGAAATAAATATTCGAGAGAAATATTGTTTTTCTTTTCTATTTGGGTCTGCAAAGACTAAATCTGATTTTTCTAAAGATCATGACAGAGATTGGCAGTCCAGGTCAGAAATCCTGCATGAATTGCTCATTGTTAAGTATAAGTAATATCCGTAATGAGAGATGCATTTGTCTGTATTTCCTCAAGCACTGAAAGAGCATGTTCATAAAGAAGTGGGTTTCTTGGCAGTCTTAAAAAATCTGAAAAAAACTATGAAAAAATTTTTTTGTTTCTGACGTCTGACATCATCTGTGCGTCCTCCGTTCTGTTGCAAATTGAATCTTTTTTTAGTCTGTGTGGTGATGTAGTCAGTGTGCATGACACACAGCTTCCCCTGTCGCCCATCAGATCAAGTCTATTTGTGACAAATGACGGAGCAAAATACAGAGGAGATATATAGAGAGTAAAGCCAGTACATTTTCAAAACTACAAAAGCACTCAGAGATCACAGATGAAGTAGCTCATTTCCTGTGACATTTGTTGCATTTCACGATACGCACCTTCTCTGAAATTTTCAGCAAAATCCATCCATTAATTTTAGTCATTTTGAAAATCAAACAACACTGATGAAAACATAACCTCCTTGGCGGTAATGAAAGATGATCCATGGACAGATTCTACGCACATCAAGTGAGGACTGTTGCACGGCAACGTTTTGCTCTGGATGACGCAGTGGACGTATAAAGTAGTATGTATAAAGCCGGCTTTAGAGATAGATTGAAACATCTGAATATGCAGATATTGAAATATGTGCATTACCTAGATTTGAATAGGAGTCGTTGCAACTTTTGGGCCGTAAGGGGAAAAAAATAAGGATACACTATAGGTACTTGTTTTTAAAAGAAAATTATAAAATAGTTTGCAGATCATCGACTCTCATCTGGGTAAAATAATAACCTGCTTACTTTTCTCTTGTGCACGTCGTTTATATAAATATGCACCCAGATGTGACGTTGGTGTCCACTGAAACCAAAGTGTTTATTTTTCCAAAGGGTTTATTTCAGATTTTTTTAGTGTGGGTCACTGATATTTCATGGTCAGGTTTTATTCTGGTACTGGAGAAGGTTATCAAAGGTTAACCATGTGTTTTCAGAATTGTTAGGGTAACAAAGGTGCTTTTTTTTTTTGTTTAATTTTTTTTTTACACTGTTTGTTTTTTTCTAGCATTTGTATGTCACATTCTGTATGTAAAGCCCATAAAAATGTCAAATTTGAAAGAAGTCTGGAAGAAATTGCTTAAAGTTTAAGCACTATTTGGACCTCTAGTTTTAAAGGATACACAACATCAGAAGCCCAAAGGAATAGCTTATTGTTTTGGCTTTCATCGATTTTATTTGTTTGGCAGCATTGAAAACACTAACCATCATGTGGTCCTGCAGTCACAAAAGGCTGATGCATTCACTGATGTATGGAAAACTCAGCTTCAGTCCTCTAACAAACAACTTGCCACATTTTTGATGGAGGCAGTTGGGTGGCCACTGATTGGCAGCCATGTTTGGTATCAAATTCTAGGCGTCTCTAAGACCTCAGGCTTTTCAAACCTGACTTTAGATTGTTGTTGTTGCTTGGTCATTTCAGTGTATGAGGACAAAATGAACACATCCAGAGTCCGAGTCTCAATATATTTATAGCAGCTTATGCAAATTATATTTCCAAATCGTTTCCGTGTTATCTTATTTGATTATTTACATAAAATTTTGTTTGGTGTGTTAAGTCTGATTAGTTGATCAGAGTTTATGTTGGTCTGCCATCTGCTGCAAAGCTATAGTGGCAGAGAAACCATATAAACCGAAAGAAAAGTAATGTAAAGAAACAATAAAATCATTTTATATTAATTATGCACTCTGTAGTTTTACATTGTATAGCCGACCTGGCTGAAGCTTAGATGATTTGTTTCATAATGCATTTTTACAGCACTGTCTGAACATCAATTTCTCTGAAATGCAATCATCCAAACCCCTAACAACTGATAAACCCACAAAATCTGAACTATCCTGAACTACCCTGAACTATCCTTTGAGAACTACAGGCCCATTTTAGCCAAATGATTTTTAAACTGTCATTAAGTTCATCCCTAACTCCACGTTTCTTTGGCTAGAGACATCCCTTATTTCCACATCCTTAGCTGTTTCAAAGGATTTCCCGATGAAGAGGTTAAGTGGTTCAGACCGCAGACATTTTCAAATCACCAGTCCGGTATCAGGGCCTGGGCTGGGTTCAGACGGCCCGGTTTGGCTCGTTGTATCCCACCCTTTTTTTTTCACTCCCACTTCCCTCTTACCACCCACCTCACCATTCCAAGTAATCACCAGGCCGACCTCAAGCTTATGTGAGGTTGGTGCCGTTGTGTAATAACTGCACTACAAGGCTTGTAATTAGGCTGACCATTAACATAAACAGAAGTCGAGTTTTGAGATGAGCTTGGAGTTTTTTTTTCTTTTCCTGCGATCCATTATAGGACCAGACCTTCAAGATTACCTTCAGTTATGCAGTATTAATGCTGGGTCAACCTTTTTTTTTTTTTT